ATTAGGCATCTTAGGTCGGGCCCCCGTGGAGGAATTAGTGAACATCTTTCGCGATCGTGAAAACATCATCTTCGTCCTTTGCAATCGCGGCGAAATCTCCTGTGGCCGTGGAGAAATAGTTAACCTCTTGCGCGAGCGCTGAGACATGATCTTCATTCCCGCCGATCATGATGAAATCATGAGGATCTTCTGAGTTTTCGTTGACATGATCTTCGACACCCGCGGTTGTAATAAAATCCTAGATTAATATCACGGATAAATAGTGATAAACTCGTACGTTAACGGCAAAATAGTAAAGATCTTCCGCGGTCGCGCAGATTTTATCAATGTCTCCCACAATCACGGGGAAACAGATAATAAATTGGTTGAAATAAATTATGAATAAAAGAAATTTTAACGCCCCAAGTGAGGCCTCCCTCCGAGGCCCCCGGCAACCCCCTGGCCCTGCCCATATGCCAATGAAATATATAATAACAAAGAAAGATTGGCCAGGTGTTCCTTTCAAAAATAATCTTGCAAGCAAATTGCAAATTTTGCACCCTAGATGTAAGAGGTGTGTCATTGCATTCAGTTGTTTCATTTGTTTGAACTAATAATTGTCACAACAGCACATCTGTGTTAAAACACATTAAACGTGTGTGTAACTAGTTATGTTATTATATTTAAATAGTTGAGGATATTTGTAAATAAAAGTTATTAAATTACTAATGTTATAGGATATTACTTTTTTAATCAAATTTTTACATCATGTTATTTTGGATACGTAATTGGAAATTTATTTGGTAAGCAGTTTTTCTAACCTGGATTTTATTTTATTGATGCTAACAATTATTGAAGTTAAGTGCTTCTTGATATATAAAGTATAGACACCTCTATTTAATAATGTCAAGTGCCAAATTTTCATTTGTATTCACTGGCTTTAATTCTCCTTTTATGTAATAGGCCTGGTTATTAAAACACTTGTGTAAGAAAGTATTTTTAACCTTTAAAACCTAAAAGGCCCACATATCAATACATCAAAGTACAACTCAACAAAACAGCTGAAAGCTATATCTGATAATGTGACTCGTCAAGCTTAAAACTACTAGCTTTAGTGTTTGGGTGACCAGTACTTTTGTCTGGCCAGAGGCCAAGTCTCCCTGGCCAAGAGACTGCACTTTAGATTGAGGATTTTAAACCCATCTCTGTCAGGCTGGTGTGCAACTTATGAAAAGTTAGCCTATCCGAAGCAGAGCTTGATGGGAGTGGCCCAACTAATATAAATAGTGAATGGCTAAAGTTGACAAGATGGGTGGATTCTCTGTGAATTAAATGGAATAAGAACAACAATTAAACATCTACCTGGAGATTTAAGAGTTAAGTGATAAAAATATGTGTTTCAATCAAGGAATGGAACCATGTTACCAAATAAGCAAATGATGAACGCATATATTTTCTTATTATGGCATACATGCTATATTATGGCATACATTTTCAGCCGTGGGTTCGTGACATTTGACAAAACTGAAGCAGCTGATACGGCAATTACTGAGGTAAGACTAATTTTACTGTTCACTGTAGGTTTTTAAATAGGTTCACAATACTGGTGTAACTTATAATAATGGCTGTTTTGTGTTTTCCCGCAGTAACATGTGCTACCATACTTGGGAATAACGAATAGAAATTTTAACGATCAGCAATATTCGTTAGTTTTTTTGTCTAACTTCTATCATATTGGTTGGTTTTTAAAAAGTACTGAAAATAACTTCTACTCAGTTAGATCCTATCTAACGAATGGATAATACTATACTTTTTAGTAGTTTTTGAGTTCAAATAGTTAGTTAATTAGTTTAATTAGAATTTTGGACGGGCGGAAGTACCTCAAAAACGAGTTTTTTTGCTTGATTGGTAAGGGCTGCGTGCGGCCGTGAGTGTCAGCGCCCTTGTTGACAAACAACGCGTGGGGGGGGGGGGGGAGGGAAAGTCCAGTTGCTTTGGAATTTGGTATGCATTTTGACCATGGGGAGTGGGGGCAGTGGCAGCCACTAACAAAACCGAGGGGTGGGAAGAGGGAAAGTTTGTTTGGTGATTTGTCATCTCAAAACATTGTCCTCAGTTGTTCATTCTCTGACAATATTGAGAAGTATTTTTTTCTGTGGTAGCAACCTTAGCCTGTGATACTCAACTCCCGACAATGAATAACACTCATATTTGATCCCAATGACACTCGTAAACACAAAGAAGATCTAGTCTTTAAGATGAAATAAAATATTTACAAGACCCAAACTACCGTGAATTAAATTCTTTGAAAATAATCTGTAACAGTTTTCTGTTTTTGAACAAAGAAATAAATTTTTCCTGCAGTCACCCGACAAAGTTGGTTTCCTTGCACTGATTATAGTACAGAAAGCTGCTAATTGTAGCATTTACTTACTTTGTCGCACCGTTTATACTTTGTCGCACGATTTATACTTTGGCGCTATCCAGAATTCCAACCAAACAACACAAATTGGTTTTATTATGCACATTATACGAATACACTTGGAAATAGGTTGGCAACACTTAAAGATACTATTAATCTGATCAGCTGATTGACTATTGATACTATGATTTCACCTGTCCTTTCGTGTTTATATTCTTCTTTCGTTCAACGCTTGGTTTGAACATAACCAAAAGTGTAGTATTTTAAAGAATAATTATAAGTGGGTCTAACATGTTTGAGAATAATAATCTCAGTGATTGTGAATATATGTGCACACCAGAAGAAATATGTAGCAGAAACTGCAAAGCATGTTTCATTAAACCTGTTTCCTGAAAAATCAAGAAAGAAGTATGAACGAGCATACAAACTGATGACCGAGCTGATTTTAACTGATGATTAAGTAGGCCTAGGCCTGGCTGGTGACAGTGATTTATTATTTATTGGTATGTTTACAACCTAACTGCCCTTCCTACCCAGACAACACTGCGGTTTCAAAAACATTGACTTGTGTTGGTTTAGTTACCACATTAATTAAAACATTGAGATTAGTAAACAAATCCAGCTAAAGCTGGAAAATACCTTTGATTAACCAAACAGACAACTGTATACAGTAGTAGTAGAAATAACAAGCAAAAACAAAATTAAATCTGAAACAACACAATACAATAGGTTGGAACAAAGGTGAATACGAACAAAATGGACAAGTCTGCAGAAGATAGTGGCCTCGCTTGAGCCAAAATCTTGTGCAGATGTGCCCATTTTGTTGTGATTTTCTAGCGTTAGCTGGGCTATTTTTACTAATCTTGTTAAGTTTTAGGTATTTTCTCACCTAAGGATGGATAAGATTCCAGATCCTGAAACATTGTAAAATCTTGCTAATTTTTAAAATACTTTTACTGACGTTGGAAAAGTTTACTAATTGTGATGAATTTAAATGTCTGGAATAATCCACTCAAAAATTAACATCAAATAAAAAAAATAGTTACAGACTTGCACAACAACAGATTTAGTGTTTTCTCCATCTCTGTCAAAAGATGTTGTAAGAAACCTAACCTAGCTGTAAGCCTAGCTATAGTTTGTGATAAAATACTTTTTTGCTTCTCATTGAGTACCTCAAGTAGATTTTTGTATCTGGTTTATTGGGCATGTTTTGGTGTGTATTTGATGTCCAAGAATAGAGTGTGTTGATGGAAATTAAATGTTTTTTACCATTATGTTTTACTAATACTGATAGACAATTCAAACCAAGAATCTCCAGTTGTAATTGTAGTATGAACAAATTAAAGGGAAGGAAGGGTGGGAAAAAGGTTAGGCCTAACATAAAAGAGTTTATTTTAAGTTAGGGCGAGTCCAATATATGTATATCACAATGCTAGAAGAATCTATTTATTTCCTGTGTTGTTGGCTGAACTACTGAGTGACGTTATGCTTCTACAAAAAGGGAACAGAACAGCAATTTGGAGTTATCGCTATGAAAATTGTATTGTCCCAAAACCGGGGTTTTAAAACTTATTTAATAGTAATTAATTACGATTAAAAATAGCCTGAAAATCCCAACTTTATGTACAGACCATTGAGATAAAGAAACATATTTTGTAAAGAGGTATGTTTTGCGAGTTGGAATCCTAGTAGTCTAATATGGTATGATGACTGTTACAGATCAATGGCAGCATTGTGTCAAATATACAACTGAAGGTTACCTTGGCTCGGAGACAACCAATAATCAGTCCCATCAATGATGCCTCCTCATCCACTGCTTGGTCCTCTCTTGGTAAGTGACTCAATGACTGGTTACCTGCCTGGTACTTGTTTTCATGCTCATAGTAGTTAGTATTATGTAATACTAAATTAAATAGCTTAAGCTGGGTTTTCCTAGAAGCGGAGTCGGCGAGCGGAGAGAGGAACGCGGAGAGCGGAATTGAAATTAACATGGTATTCCGCTCCGCTTCTAGGAAAACAGTAACATTAAATTGCCTAAGACAAGTGGAGTCCGCTCTCCGTGTTCCTCTCTCCGCTCGCCGACTCCGTGCCTAGGAAAACCCAGCTTTACGATGGTATTGAAACCATATTTTTGACTATCAAATGGCATTGGAATAGACAAGTTACACTATCAAACTCTTTGAGATTGAAATGATTTTAAATCTCCCCGTTTTGACAAAACTATCAAGAAACATAAATTGTCCCTATTGGCTTTCAATGAAACAATCAGAAAATATAACTTTTCACAAGATCAGTGAAAAAATTAATTCGGTTCCTTGGTCAATCATCTTACTGTATCTTTTATATCTTTTTCAAGCATATTTTCCAATTTTCTGCCTTGTTTGGATCCAAAATATAAACTGATGCTCCAAAACTTTGTCATAACTTTGTTTGTGTTATGTTTCAGCTTCCAACCGATCTCAAAAAGGAAGCCACAAGGACAAAAGAGAACAAGTAATATACGATGATATATTTGACTAGTTTAGTCTTCTTAAGTTAGTGTCTTAAGTTGAAACTATCAATGTGATAGGGAGTTTATTGTAAATAAAAAATAAAATCATTTAAAAAACCACTCAAAACAGTGTTTATTTACAAACTTTATCATTAGAATTGTAAAAAGAGCATTGTTCAATGTTCTCGGTCTAAAAATAAATAACGACTTAAAACAAATGAAATAAATAACAAAAGTTCAAGGGTGAGGCGGGAGGAAATCCCAGTGATGATGGTGAACGGTTCTATCTTGCCCAAAACCCAGGAGCAATAGCCCGGCAATGAGAACAAGAACGATACAAGCTGCTGTCTGGGCGTCTTTTCGCTTCTCACCCTCTGGAAATGCAGCATTGAGGACCTCTATGGCTTGGTTCATCCCACGAGATGCAGAGCTGTGCCAGATGCCAAGGAGCTGTCTGATTAACTCTACCGCAGTCGCCTCTCTCTGGTGAGGTCTCCGAGCTATTGGGTAACTATGGAACTCGTCTTCTTCCTCCTCATCAGTTGACAGCTGAGTCGGCTGTTTGTGAGAGTGATGTCTTCGTCTTCGAGGAACCATCCTCAACTCCTCCTCTGAGTCTTGTGATCTCGTTCTGGGAGGAGACCTCGGTGGAGGGGATGATGGGACGTAACCAGGAACATGCTGGCCTTGCGGACTGTGGATGACTATGGTAGGTGGTGGGGATGGCCTCCGTGGGGGTGAGGGTGGGGCTGGCAGTGGGGAGGCAGGAGGCACTTGTGTCAGAGGTTGTACGGACGAAGATGAAGGGAGAGATTCTTGTTGGTTCATAGGTTGTATAACGGATGGTGGTGCCACTTCCTGTTGAGGTGTGGTGTTTGTTTGCGAGTCTGTCATCTCCGGAGGAGTCTGAGTCGATGACTGAATGTGAATAACTGGTGCGGGTGGTGGTTGCGGAGTTATTGCTTCTAGAAACGATGAAGGAAGCTCAAATCCACTTACTACTAAATGACCTGATTTACTTGTCAGTTCTGCAACTTGCATTGATACACCGTCAATGTCGGAAACTGTAATCTTATGTGCTTGTAGTTCGGTAACATTGAGTTTGTCTACATCCAATTCTGCTACATGTATTTTTTTAGCTTTAAGAATTTCAGTCTCAGGAGTTGGTATAACAACTACTTTGTGCTCGATAATTGTTTCAACCTTTTTCTCCACCTCAGGCTCCTTAGCAGGGCGTGGTGTTTCTGATGATGATTCCTCATATCTGCTATAATCAGCTGAAGTTTGTTGTTCTTCTTCCACATAAAACCCATCTGGTAATGTATCAGTCTGAGTTGATACATTAGCTTCAACAGGTGCTGGTAAGGGTGTTTTCCTTGTTTGGCTTAGTGACTTTTTTCTCCGCTCTGTTTTGACTGGAGGCTCACTCAATATTTCTGGCTGTGCATGTCCAGTGTGTGGCACTGTTTGTCTCTCACAAACCTCTTCTACAGGTTCAATATTGAGAGATTTTTCTCTTTTTGTCTCATGATCATGATGTGGGTGACCTACAAGAATATCAATTCTCTCTGAGACTACTACATCTTGTTCATCCAAATCTGTTGTTTCCACCTCTTCCTCAGTAAATTCTCTCACATCTTCTTCGTCTCTCATTTCCTCTTCCCTGGTTTTCCTCGGGGGACGTGGTGGGGGAGGTAAAGGACGATCTTTCATTTTTTCGATCACATCTTCGCTTTGGAGATCTCTCATTTCTTGAACTTCTTCTTGTTCATATTTAATAGTAGATTTTTCATTATCTAATGAATCTAATATTACACTGTTGACAATTTCATTCTCTATGTATTCCAGGGTTTCTTTTTCTTTTGCCTCTTGAGTATCATTTTCATCTTTCAAAGGTATAAATTCACCTTCGTAAACAGGCTCTCTGAACACTCTGTTTCCTCTCGGAGGTCTCGTTGGTCCTATTGTACTATAATTTCTCACAGGTCTAATAGGTGGAGGAGATGACATGTGCAGTTTTTTCTTAATTGCTCTTCTAGGATATGTAAAAAAGAAGTTTATACTCTGATTTTTCAAAGCTGCTAGTTGTGCCGCTGTTTTTCTTCGCCGACTAGGAGGAGGAGGTCGTTTTGGTTTTTCTGTTAGTTGTTTTTGTTTTCCCTCCATTACCGTCTTCTCTATAACAGCATAACCTGGTGAGTCTATGATGACAGGCAAAATGTCAGGCTTAGTTTCCAAATCCTCTGTCATGTGTGTCCTAGATTCTGAGATGAGAGATTCGGCTCCTCTAGAAGTTCGATCATCTTCAGCCAGTGATGTTCCTTGTGATCGAGATTTTCTCATTGGGGGAGGAGGAGGAGAGTCGTAGTGACCATTCTGAATTGCCCTGCTTTGATCTGTATCCCTTTGAAGTGCGATCACATGCTAGAAAAACATATTTTGTATTACAACATGATAAAGATAAATAAGGCGCACTATTATTATTAAAAAATCTTGGGTATCTATATCTGGGGAGCTGGGTAGTTGAGTAGTTGAGTATTTAATGTGCTCACCTAACAAACAAAAGGTTGATCCTGGGAAAAGTCAGAAGCAGTCGGTCTTAGAAAATATATTGATTGCTAGAGGAGCACTATAACCATTAATCTAAATAAATAAAAGTACAGGGAGGGTAAAATATTTATTAGACAAGTTGAGCTAAATAAAAAAATATTTATGATGTAAATAGTAAACACATTTTGATGGTTCAAATAAAAAATTTTAATACACCTTTATAAATACATTGCAATCCGAATCCACATAATGTTTTACGTTCCAACTTCCATATCGGTCGAGTTGTCGTATGATGGGATTGGAGGAGCATTTGAATGATTGTTTATAACTTCTTTCCATACTACGCTGCGGGTGTAAGTAGTATTTGTTGGTGGTAAGACAATTTTTAAGTCATTTCGGTTCTTAACCCAAGAGTAGGCTACGTAAAGCTACCATGCATGAAAACCCCGGTGAGCAGGATCAAACCTACAAATTTCAACATGTTTAGCCTCTGGATCACGTAATTTACTAATAAAAAGGTTAAATACCTGTAGTACTGTCTGTGATCCTGGAATTTAGGTCAGCGACCCAGGTTTCGAACCTAAAGGTTCATTTTCAAGCAGGTACCAGAGTTAAAAACACATAATCCTCTTCATAACTGTGGATCACAGACAGTACTACAGGTATTTAACCTTTTTATTACAAATTTCAGTGTTTGTCATTGGCTCTTGTGTATGGTCATAGCAAATGCTTGGCTTATGGAAAACTGATGGCGCTTCATTGTATTTCCAAGATGGGACTTGCTTGAATATAACGTGATTTGTGGAAAAATTTTCCAGAATGCTCTCCAGTGATTATTTTGGCCTTAATAATTATTTAGGGTTGCAGAGTTTCGTTACGATTAATCGATTTCTAATGCACATTCCTTCAGTAACGTCCAGGTTTTGCAATAGCATTATGATGGTGTACTCAGTGAGATTTAGTTCATGAGCAGTGGCTGTTCTGGACCTGGTCAAGGGGGGGCTATGGGGGTGTTCCACACCAGGAGTTGGGAGTTGGGTTTAAAAAATTTCCTATTTTTTAAGCGATTTGGCGACTTTTTAAAAGCAATTTTCAACATCTAAAATTGTGTCCAAAAATCTCGGTTATGTTTTCATGACAAAATGTATTTTTAAATTTATATTTCCAGGATCCAATGATGGGACCTTTAGCCCCTATAACCCTCCCTCCTTGAAACCACCACTGTTCATAAGGCTGCCAATCGTTAATATCGATGGACTTAAGGATTTTGGGTGTAAATTGTAGGGAGGGGTCTACTTAATTTTTAATTGAATCAAAACTTTCGTAAACTTTCTCATTGCCCGGTAGCGACGATTTTGATGGGCTTTTTAGTCTTTCATGAAATATTTAACCAAGATTTCGAAGATTTAGTTTATTGAATTTTAACAATCAGTAATGGCTTTAACACGTTCGCTGCGGGCCATCAAATGACAGGCGTAGCCTCAGTGCGGCGCAGCCCGCAGCGTCGAATAAACCCGATTGCCGGGTGATTGGCTCTCATATTTCTGTATGACGAATAGCAAATAACAAGCAGTGATGTCCTGTTTTATAACAAGAGTCGACTTAGTTCGCTAAACACTCACAGATAGCAGCACTGCTTGGAACGTAGGCGGTCCCATCGTATTGCCAATTGGAGGGAGAAAGACGGGGACAACAAGTTGATTTTTAAGTTTGCCAGATGGGGATTTTATGGGGAAATTTTACTACCAACCTACAACACAACAAAAAGCAAGTCACCCACTACACGCTAACGTGGAATAGGTCTGCCTTCGACCGACGCTAGAGCAAAAACGATGATATACGAAAGGCATTGCCGAGCGTTTTCGATCGGTTACGGCAGCACCTGAACAGTGCTCGGCCCGTATCCGATCGGATACGCCCGCAGTGAACGTGTTAAAATGGATATAAAAGTGTATTGAAAGTTTTGCTACTTACATTATCTAGCACCATGTCATCAGCCTGGGCGTCTTCGTCCATCCATTGCTCCCTCTGGAACTGCCGCAAAGATTCTTTGTCCTGACTGGAGTCTCGAGTGCTCTTCCTTCTCTTTGGAGGTAGAGGAGGTTGAGGCTCTTCTACCCAAGGTTTATCTAGAGCTTCTGAGGACTCGTCGATGTACCGAGTAGGTGACATTTCCTTTGTAGTATCTGTCACATGTAGACTTGGAATTGACGGAGGTCTAATATCTTGCACATTTTCCTTCTCATCTTCATCATAGTCTACTGGAATTGATTGTTTACTCTGAGAACTTTGTTTACGTACCCGAGTAGGTCTGTTGGGTGGAAAGGTGTTAAACTGACTGTCAATTTCCTGTTTCGGCTCTTCAGATTTGCTCCTGGTTGAACGTTTCTTCAGCGACCTGGTGCGTTCTGGTCTCACTGGTTCTTCTTCTTCGATTTCCTCATCTCCAGTGTATTCAATATCTCGTTCGGGTGTCATCCGCATTTGTTCTGATGACTGATTTCTCATGGCTTCCATTGACATGCGTACAGGCTCACCGGTAGGCCTTGGTTTACTATCATAACCTTCATTGTCGTCATCATATTCTTCCCTGCCTAGACTTGCGAGGGCATTTTTGGGTGATCGGAAGGCATCTCGGATTTCAAGAGAAAGGTACCTACTGACATCTACATCTTCTCTACTCAAACCTTTTTCCCGAAGAAAAAATTCATCTGAATCAATTTCTTCAATGACTCCAGCTCTGTGTCTTTCTGATGAACTTCCTGATGATTGTTGTTCCCTGTCTGAGCCTGGAATGCTGATTGAACTCTCTGCCTTTTGTTTGCTTTCATTATCAAAAGTCACTGCTGCTTTGAAGTCTGGATCTCGGAAAGCTGCACTATCATCCTCTGCATCATCCTCAAAAGACGGTTTTTTCAGATCTGACTGATTGTCCGCATCGGCAAACTTGATGTCCCTGAACCGCTGTGTCCATCGTTGGTTGAAAGGCCCTGTTCTACTGCCGGGGGTGGAGGGAGGTGTACTCTGTGTCTCCATTCGAGGGGGAGGAGTTAATGCTCGTCGACCTTGAGCAGCTTTCTTTTTTTTACTAAAAATTCTTGGGTAGGTTCTGAAATTAATGGAATCAAATATATTTTTCTTAGACCCTACCGTCGATTGATTTGATGGAATTTGTGCTTTATCTCTCAAGGGTCGTCTCAAACTACTAGTTTTTGTTTTCCCAAAATTAAAATTTGGCATTTTCAAATCAGGACGTTTAATGTTGAATTTTGGTCTTTCTGGGAAGTTAAATTTTGGTCTTTCAAAATTCATCTTTGGCCTATCTGGAAGGTTAAACTTTGGTCTTTCGGGGAAGTTAATTTTAGGCCTGGAAATGTTGCGAATTCTCGTTCTCAGTCTTCCAGCTTGGGAGGAGATCCTCTGTTGAAATCCCCTGGCATTGAATCCTCTTCTCGCTTCTCTTTTGAGAGGCAGCTCGTCCAGGCCAGATGAGTCCATCTGACTTGTGTTGAACTCTCCGTCTGTTCTGGATATCGTTGTAGCAGGAGTCGCTGCAAAGTTACGAGCTTCCTCGTGGTCTTGCACATCTTCCATTGTTATTCCTTGCATTTTATTGGTTTCTTCTTCCTCTTCATCATCGTACCTTAAACTTTCTATCTCTGCTTTGTCAATTGGAATAACCATGTCCCTATCAAGGGGAATTCGTAAATATTTGTGGTGACGATCTTCGAATATCGATCTGAAGTCGACTCTTTCCGGTTCACTTTCCTTCTCCTCCCCCTCCTGATCCGTCACTTTCAGGAGGGGTGGAGAAGGAGGGGATGTAGGAGGAGGGGATGTAGGAGGAGGATGGCTCGTCGCTGGTGGGTTGATTGGCTCGTATTCATGATCCCTGAAAAATTGTACAAAAATTAGTAACATAAAAATCTTATTTGCTATACTTTTTAATACTTTTTTCTACTCTAATTTAAAAATGGTCAAAGCCAAACAGCAGACTAAGTCATACAAATCCATATCATTCCTAACTGAAAAGATTTTCTTTCATTCTATGGTATCCACTTTTGTGGTGTAAGGCGGGATAAACTTGAATGAATTAAATGAGCATGATCGGACCATGGGAACGGGGTTTTACGGAGGAGGGGGGGGGGGGGGGTATGGGGTAAAATTGGTTTTCTCATTTTCGACCCTCAAGACATAAAATGTTTCCAACTTCTCTGTAGACCATTTTTAAGTGCATAGAGAACCAAAAATTTAGTATATCAAATTGTTTTTGTACAATTATTGGTTATGGAGAAAATTTAAAAAGTTTAAAATTTAAAGTGTCCATGTTATTCTTATGGAGAATATTGTGAAATATTGTATGCAGTTTGCTTGCTATGGATATATTTGGATTAGTCTTGGCAAATTTATTTACTTAATACTAAGCTATTAATAATAAAAAAAAAAAAAAAAACACTTTATTACCCTCCCTTAGCAGCAAACATAGGTACATGTTAAACCAAATGTTATTTAAATCCAATCAGGCAAATGGAAAATCGCTTAGTCTGCAGGTTTGCTGCGGCGGGGATGTTTTTATTTTCTCTAGACATAATAATTTTCCTGAATGACTCTTTTATATATTTCAGACCAAGTAGGTAGAGAATTTTACATCAAATCATTTGAACTCAGTTTTAACTTGTTATCAGAACCCTCCATACATCCAGAACTCTACAGAGAGCTGTGTCTAGTATTTTTAGCTGTTGCGGCATCTCTTGGCACTTACTGCAGGGTCCAGACTCGTCCGTGGTCTCGTATTTCTCTTGGTTCTCAACTTTGGTTTCAAAAATGCGTAAAGCTAATTGAATTTTTGAAATCCCAAATTTTTTATTGGGAAAACACATTTTAGTTATGTACAACTGTGTCAAATATTTTGCTCGGTATTGAATCATCTGTAAGTTGTCCTATCGTCTGATTTATCTGGGAGGAGAAAATGCAGTTTAAAGGGCTTTTCCTTATTTCATGTAATAGCTTCAATGTAATTTTGACTGACCTGTTCATAATTTTAATTTTTTATCTAATATTATTTTAATAATAAATATCATTTATAGAAGTATAATGAATACTTAAGTTTTCGTACATATATAAATGTTAGCTAAACATGTCCCCAAATTTGCCCTCCTACTCATACACTTTTTAAAAGGTTTGAAAATGAAATGATTAATTAGCTTTTGCCAAAACAGGACAATTTTAAAAATGATCTTTGATTGGTAAGTTGGTGGCTCAGTCAATAGTTCAATGGACTTAAGATCCATGACAGCGTCAGCAATGAGGTTGATTCTGATGTTGGTACATGTCACTTTATGAGTACAGTTCAACTCTAGTATTGTACGGCTCACCCCTTGTTTTGCTGGATACATTCCTTGCACAGGCCAGGCCTAAGACTAAGGCCATAATGTAGACGGGTAAATGTAAAGTTAAAATAGGCTGCCAATATCTTTTTTTTATTAAATAAATTATCTTAACTTGTAAAACCAAAACTTATTAGATTATTTCCTGGTAAAATAAAATCTCTAAAGTGAGTACATCGCAGTGATGATAATGAAAACAATTAATTGAGCGGAGCGAAGCTCATATACTACACTCCTGCTTTTGTTTTACAAATACTCCTCCTGAACTGCTGAAGCGATCTGCACGAAATTTAGCTACACCATAGTAACCAACTATGGGAAGGTATAAATCTGAAATGGTAAAAATCAGACCACAGGGCTTTTTCCTACGTGAATTTAAAGTTTGTGCAACATATGTTAGTGAACGAATCATCTAAATAAACAGCCCATTCATTACAAATACCGTAAAGATAAAAAGGGAAGAACAATCTGATTCATATCATTGATCATAATTTTCTACAAAATGAATAAGCAATAATTAATTATGTTCACCAGAATAGGCTTAATAACCTTTGACTTTAAATAATTTGAATATCCATTCCATTTATGTGAACCAAATATAGGCCTACAATTGAGTTTGGATACTGCAAGTAGACTTTCCATTTATGTGAACTAGACGTACCATTCAATAATGCAGACTTGGAATAGGTACTGCAATTAGGAATTCCATAAAAAAATGTGACTCAAAGATACCAGTGAGTTTGGATACTGCAAGTAGACATTCCATTGACACGAACCAAACATACCATTGACTTTGGATACTGCAAATAGGCATTCCACTATGTATGTGAATCAAATGAACTATTGCTTTGGATCCTGCAAGTACACAATTCCTTTACGTGAATCTGATGTATCATTGACTTTGAATACTGCAAATAGACATTCCATTATTATTTGGTTCATTGTGAACCAAATATATAATTGACATTGGAAACTGCAAGTATTTTCAATCTCATTTATGAGAAACAGATGCAGCAAGGACTTTACAAAAGTATTGGATTAATATGCTAGCTCCACTCAATATTGCAAGCAGAAAACTGTATCATTGTACACCTAGTAAAATATTAAAATAATGTTTTTACAAAATCTACTGTGATAAGTAAAAACAAATTCATTGTTCTTATTTATGTTCTTTTTACTAGTTTTTATAACATTTACCAAATCAATATTTGTCAATAAATAATCTGTCATGTGTTATTGGTGGGACAAAAACTTAACTGATGACTGATTTGTTTACTCCTCATGTCAAAACCTCAGCCAAAGATGTTGTTGGCACTAATCAGTATATGGATAAACAATCATACTTGGTCACTGAATCACTTAGAGTATGACAGTAAGTCATACTGCCATCATAAAAGATGTTTTCTACAAAAGGAATCGTGCTCCGTTCTACTCTCATCCTCCACTCATAGGGTTAAAACTTGTGCAGTTGCATTCCCATATCATTTTTGCATTTCATGTCAAATTTTGGATTTTACGATGTAAATAAAATTATATTTCAGGGGAAACCATTCAGCTCTACATAAAACATGTCTTATAATTTTAAGTTTAAAAAACTTTTCCACTTCAAGCAATAAACATTTACAGCCATGGTCTTTAATTTAAAAAAATGAACACTCCCTTAGTATAATTTTCAAAGAGTGGTTTTAATCCCTGGATTACAGTATACTTAAAATGGTTTACAATACTTGAATAAAGTAGTCAGTGCTTGGTATTGTAAACCATTCAAAGTATTTCCTTAGTTAATCAGCTAGAAGTGTGTGTCAACAGTAGCTGCTTTTGAAAAGAAAAAAAAAAACAAAAAGTAAAACAGTTAATTAAGAAAACTAGAGATTTAAAAGACCAGAGAAAAGTATGTCAAAACCTGACCTTCATGGTCTTATAAAATGTAATTTTATCTTTGTATTGTGTCATTTTTTGTTTGTTTATCTTGTATCTTGGAACAATAAAATTGCAGAATATATCTCTTGACATTTTGCGGTAAAATGTAAAGAAATCCATTAAACGTTTTGGGGGAAATCTGGTTGTCAGAAAAACAGATTAATAAAAAATACTGAAAAGGTCTGTGTGGGGTAATAAAATTACTTAAAATGATATTACTCATCCAAGCAATCTTCAACAGGCATGATATGCTATTCTAAAACTAGTCTACAAAAAAAAACCCAGAAGTTCATTTTTTTGTAACTGAAATTCAGGGATTACTCCTCAGATTCAAGCTAACATTTCTCCCTAACAATCCTAATTGCTCCCTTGGGTGTTGATATTATAATAATTCATGGGACATAGGAATGCTAGTTTACTAAAAGTTGCCCCTTCAATTTGGCTTGGTTAAAAAGTAGGATTATTTGATAAAAACCAGGTATTTACAGCAGAACACTCCATCAACATTAACATTAACAGCTGTGTCTAAGGAATATGTCGGCCTTAGTCACTAACAAGACTACAAGATCGTGCCACTCATTCTACACTCATCCTTCACTCATATTTGGGTTAAAATACGCACATAGTGGCGTCCCCATCTTAAATAATTGATAATCTATATATTAATTTGAAACTGTTTTTCTTTGTGACAGCTATTTTGAGAGAACGGCTGGGCGTAGAAACTCGGTAGAGGTGTCTAAAGAAAGGTCCTGGTCTGTAGATGAGCCATCAAAAGAGAAACATGGAGAATTCCCTCGGGGCTCTGCCCCAGTGGCCTTTAAATTCCCATCCCATTCCCATGTTATTCTTATGGAGGAAAACGAGGTTTTTGTCACAGCTAATTTGAGAGAACGGCTGGCCGTAGAAACTTGGTAGGGGTGTCTTAAGAAAGGTATTGGTCTGTAGGTGAGCCCTCAAAAGAGAAACAAGGTAAATTTCCTTGGGGCTCTTCCCCAGAGGCCTTTAAAGTTCACTCTGCAATTTTGTTTATATTTCGACCATATGGATAATTTTACACTACTTTTAATGAACCAGCTGTTAATATTAAAATTGTATTCAAAGGTCTACTTAAAATGTCAAAATTAAATGTTTACATTATTATTTATCATTTTAAATGGATTCTCCACTGTATGGCAAGTTTTTTATAGTTTCAACAAAATGATGAATTTATGATACGTTTGAAATGTTTTGTTCAAAAATCTATGCTTTATTGCTCTTAGAAAATTTTAAATTATGAAATAAGGGTGACATATCATTTTCAAAGGAACATATAATTATTCCTTATCGGGTTAGCTTATATATATATTTTAAGGTTGGCACTTGCCTTTTTTTCCTACTTTCAATCACCACCTGAGATTCATTTATTGGTATAAAAGTTTTTGATAATCGGGTTGAAAATTGTGTAATATATGAGTACGTTGAGGATACTGTTAATACTGTTCAATGAAATGGCGACCATACATAGTAGGTATTTTAAAGGATGAGAGCTGTGTTCAAGTTTTGGAATAGACTAACTACGGACTATGTTTCATCTATGGTTTTGGTA